TTTTGTTAAAAATTTATTATATGTATATATTTTTTTTAAATATTTTTTTAAAAATTTATTGCTCTATAACAAATTTTATTTTTATAGACATATAAACCTTTTTAATTTTTTTTCTCGATATTTATAAAAGTTCATAAAAAGTATCACAATATTCTAAATTTTAATTGTCATTAATCTATAGCAATTTTTTTTATATTCTATAATATTGCCTTATTATTAGTTATTATTAAATTATTTTATCCCTTACAATTAAAGTCCACATCTGATTATTTAATTAAAATATAGAATAAAAATTATAAATAACTTTGCAATTGACCGTTTGCATCGAGTTGAAATATTTATTCACAATAACACAGAGATTTTTTGAATTGGCGTGTCCGCGAACAGACGGCATAAATGTCACGGAATTCTAGCGATAAAATGCAGACCAGCTCACTGTTGGTTTTATATCAAATTCAATTCCGGGTGTTGTTTACGCGTAAAACAAAAAAATATATCCACTCGCCGACAGTGAGTTATTCTATCATTTTTCGATTGAAATATGAATCTTCCATATATACATGAGTAAAATTTGGTTTTCTTTCATTTGATTGATCACATTTTTAATGTTTTTTCTTTGAATTATATATAAGTTATATATGTGTATGTAGAACGTATTTATCTCAATAACATATATTTTTTTTAAATATGTACATATAAAAAGATCTATTGTGCCAGAACATAAATCTTATTATGTATATTATTTATATTATGTAATACCAAATATTAATTTTTAATAGTTAATAATTAATTTTTTTATAAATTAATCAAGAGAAAAAAAAACGTTATTAATAATGCAACACCAAACTATTATAAATATATAAAAAATAATTATTGCAAATGATAGGTTCGACAATATCACTTAATAACTGACATTTTTTCCAGTTATTTTAAAATAATTTATATCAGAAATTAATAATTATAGATAAAAACGTTAAATTATTTTTTAAGTAATTTTTATTTTACTTAAATAATTTTTAATGTTTTTCTACAGATATATATATATATATATATATTTTTTACGCATAATATTTATTATTTATCAAAAAAATGTCAGTCATTACAGTTCAAACCTCTCAATGAAATCACTCACCGATCATAAACATCTGCTTACAAGCCAACACCTGCCTGCTTACTGCCACATAGCTCCTGTAAAAATTATATAATTTTAATTTGTTTATATAATTTCCTCTACAAAAAAATTTGATGTAGACATATTATAGATATGTGCAGTGTCAAAATAGGTTCTAATTTTTATTTGAATTTCTGTAAATAATTCATCAAGATAAATTAAATTTTCCTTCTTCATGTGATTTTATTGTAAATAGATAAATAATATTTTTTTGCAAAATAATAAATTAATTTACTATAAGTTAATATATTAGAGTAAATAAATTTCTAAAAATTAATTTACTCACCAAAGTTTTTTGTCAGTCTTAACCCCTCTATAAAGGGATCCTCTCGGGACTGTGCAGTTTCAAATCCACGATGAATACTCGCTTTCTCACATGTATTCGAATAAAAGTACAATTAATTACTATCGCGCACAACAATCGACTCCACACGATTATCGCGCGACACTTTACTCGGTACTCCCGATAACGGATTTTCCGTTATGCGCGCACTGCACTTTTACGGAAGAAAAAATGCGATTTCACACCATCGCGACGCGCAGCGACTTTCACGGCATTCCACGACGCATATCACGAGATATAAATGCCGCGTCGCACAGTTTAATGAAATTTCAACGGCATTCACGATATATATTCCCGACATGCATTAAATTCAACGATGCCACGTTTAAAAATTATTATGTTTTGCATTATTTCATTCGATGCTAATTTTATACACGACTCATCTTTAATAACGGTTGCTCGCCGCGAAATAACGAAGACAATTGACTTTACTTTTATACGCAAAGCTTAACAATCAGCACGATATAGCATTATATTCCGATCGATATCACGAATAGAATATTGTTACTATGATATCATTAAAACAATATAGATGATATATATTTATTAAATGTGCGCGACTGCGGTCGGCAAATAACCGCCATGCATGCACAGCCAACTTTACTTCGAATCTCGCTAGACTGTAGCAACTGGTCTAATCGCGGATCGAATATTGCAAAAGAACAACTAATTATTTGACACACGCACTCTATAATTATTGCTTGATAGTTTATTTAACATTTTGGATGGTTATTTATACGCAAAACTTACTTTTGAAGGATGAATAATGTGAAAATTGAGGAGCGACTTTGACCGCGCTTCGACTCGTAGTTCGGAATGTTCGACTATGTTCGGTTCCACTCGGCTTGCTTCGGTTACCCACCCTATTATACTATGCTATGCGATCGGCAAACGGCCACCACGCATGCGCAGCCAACTTTACTCCGAATCTCGGAAAGTAAATAGTCTGGATCGCGTATCGAATATCGCAGAGAAACAACTAATTATTTGACACGCATGCTCTATATCATTATCGCTTGACAGTTTATTTAACATTTTGGATGTTTATTTATACGCAAAACTTACTTTTAAAGGATAAATAATGTGAAAGTTGCGGAGCGACTTCGACCGCACTTCGACTCGTAGCTCGGAACGTTCGAGTATGTTCGGTTCCGCTCGGCTTGCTTCGGTTACCCACCCTATTATACTATGCTATGCGGTCGGCAAACGACCTCTACGCATGCGCAGCCAACTTTACTCCGAATCTCGAAAGGCTATAGCAACTAGTTTGATAGCGGATCAAATATTACAAAAGAACAACTAATTATTTGACACGTGACGCTTTATAATTATCACTTGACAGTTTATTTAACATTTTAGATGTTTATTTATACGCAAGACTTACTTTTAAAGGATGAATAATGTGAAAGTTGCGGAGCGATTTCGACCGCGGTTCGACTCGTAGCTCGGAACGTTCGACTATGTTCGGTTCCGCTCGGCTTGCTTCGGTTACCCGCTCTATTATACTATGCTATGCACAGTGGTCGGCAAACGGTCACCACGCATGCGCAGCCAACTTTACTCCGAATCTCGAAAGATTATAGCAACTAATTTGATCGCGGGTCAAATATTGCAAGAGAACAACTAATTATTTGACACGCGGCGCTTTATAATTATCGCTTGACAATTTATTTAACATTTTGGATGTTTATTTATACGCAACACTTACTTTTAAAGGATGAATAATGTGAAAGTTGCGGAGCAACTTCGACCGCGTTTCGACTCGTAGTTCGGTTCCGCTCGACTTGCTTCGGGACCCGCGCTATTATTCTCTAGACGCGTTTTCCACTTGACGTTTGCAACGCTCGCGAGATTATTTTTTTTCATATTGTTCAAAAATTGTTAAACAGATAATACTTGCAAATATTATAAGGCATTCTATATTATATACAGCGTTCGGCAAATAACTACCACATATTAAGCGCAGCTAACTTATATATGCATGAGGTAGTATCATAATGTATGATTAGGCGCGTCTAGTAACTTAATTTTTTAATTTATACGATTAATTGATATACAAGAAAATGCAATTAATAATTTTCTGATATGATAGACGCGCGAACATGTATTTACTTTTACGAATACTGGCATCGTCGATGTGGATTACACATGGCAAATAAATATGGACGAGCAGTATCCGAGGAGATTGGTCACAAATTATTCGCGATCTACGCTGAGATCACGAGGAAATATTCGCTCTAGAGCTAACTCATCAATATATATGTTTCATGAACGACGTCAGCGACATAATCCAAGTTACACGATGACAGAAATTGCCGAAAATATAAAATTAAATCGTCAGCAGGTCCTATCGTCTCGAGGTTTTAATTTTCAAAAGATTATAATTTGATGATTTTAGCTAGAGAAATCATATTAATTTAAATATAAAAAAAATATTTGCAGAGAGTATTATCGAGGTGAAACCAACTGCTTGTCCATCCGACCTCTTCAGCAGCAGCGCCGGGTTGACAGAGCGAAGTAGTGACAGCTGGTTAGAAAGTGACGATCTGCCATTTGAAATTCATCCCGAAAAAGGAACTTTATCACCTGGTGAATCTATGGAATGTACTTTGCGATTCTCTCCCATGGATGTGTTTGATTATAAAGCTCATCTTACATGCAAGTATGATTACACACCCATACAATCGTTACTCATTTATTTAATATATCGTTTAATTTAATTTAGATTAATTATTTTGTGTTTTTATGTAAATTATATAATAATATATATCAAATATTTTATATAAAATTAATTATTTATTTATAATATAAATAATTTATTTAACGTAAAGGAGGATAGGTGCGCAATTAATTTTCACATATTCTTGTTTATAAAACATTATTTTCAATAATAAAAATACTAAAAATCAGAATAAAATTAATCTGAAAATAATTTGGTAATAGAATTATAATCTGTTTATTTATCAGATTTATTGTATGTATAATCCTTAATATTATCTGTATATATATATATGCATTTCTGTTTATCTGATGGACAGAATGCAGAATCTCGATCCAGAGCTGTCAGAATTGATTATTCCCATTGCGGGAAGAAGTTTGTTACCGTATTGCCATTTCGACATACCGGAAAGCGACTATCTATCCGGCAATAGACGTAACGCGAAATTGCCAGGGCCAATCGATTATCAATCGATCAATGGATCTCTTCCGCAAGATACGAGAGTAATTGAGCTGAATGTAATCGGGATCGGCGACACTCACGTAAAGTGAGCAATAAATTTAAACATAAATATATATACGAATACACAAATTATATGTTGTGCATATAAATATTACATTTATTATTACAAATTTCAGAAAATTTCGAATGATAAATCCAACATCGGACGACTATCACTTCATCTGGAAAGACCGAACTCGTCGTGTTGAAAGCGAGATATCGAATTTCCACTGCGTGTTTCCGGAAGGAATCGCTGAGCGAGGGAAGCAAGTCGATTTCGTTTTTACGTTTCTTGCAGAGAACATTGGCACTTTCGAATCCTTCTGGTTATTCTCCATCGAGAAATATAACTTGGAATATCTTTTTCTGTTCGTCGCGATTGTCAGAGAACCATCGGTTTGCTGTTCGCTTGTCCATTTGAAGATGAAACCAACCGTATTAGGTAAAAGATATTAGTAGAAAAATTTATAAATATTATATTAATATTATATACAATTTTTACATATTTATTTTTTTTGTTCTCTACAGGCGTTAATATACGAGAACCGATAAGCGTAATCAACAACGAGGAACTTCAGCTTTCCTTTCAGATCGCACGAGACTCTTTATATTCTGAAGGACGTGTTCAGAGCTTGAAGATAACGCCTATGAATGGTATTTTAAATCCAAAGGACGAACAAGTTTTTTGGTAAGTGAGAATAATCTTGAATAATAAGAATTTTTTGTTTAAATAACGCTTTTTATAATATAGGGTCGAATATCAGCCTACATTTGTGGGCGAATTTCAATTTTGTATAAAATGCTTTATAAAAAAGTTGAAGACACCGTTGACTATATTTGTTACAACAATGACATATGATATTATCGTTTCGGTTACATATGTGGATCAGAATGGCCAAATCGTGCAATTAAATCAAAATGAAGAAAATATCATTGACTGCGGAAAAGTGCGTAAAATTAATCGTTAAACTATTTTGACTAAAGCTAAACAAATAATTTTAAAAATAATACGTTTTTTAAAACTTTTAGATAATGTTAAAAGCGCCCTTTTCTATCATGTTTGAAATAACAAACTCAAGCAAGATGACACTTTATTATTCTTGGGACTTTGGCATGACACCGGAAATAATTAGCAGAAATATATATACGATTACGATGCAACAGAAACAGAATCACGTGGTTAGCGAATCGCGATCCAATTGTTGTCTCATCATTACGGCATTACAAAAAACAATAATAAAAAATCATCCCATTCTCTTGAAGGTATTATTCTTATTTAAATATTCAATAGGTATTTTTGTAAAAGATGTGAAAGAGAAGATGTTATACATATAAATTTATTTTTTATATTCAGATTTCTAGAGGACCGACATATCGGCTAATCTTGCGAGCGACTGCGAATAAACCGGGTTTGGAATTCAGTTTTAATCATTACGACTTTGGACCTTGCTACATACGAGATATCACTGCGGCCGCATATCACGTCGACTTACGTATCACAAATTTAGATGATATTCCATATATGTAAGTTGTTTTACAAGCTGTTTCGTGTAACAGAAAAAAAAAATTAAGATTAATGGACAAAGCAATTCTCGCAGATTAGAATGCAAATTCGAAGAGAAATCATACATCTCCGCGAATCTTGACGCTCTTTCAGAAACAATAACTTCTCGATCAAGTATCACTATTCCAATAAAATTTCGTCCTCTAGAACAGCTGCATTATCGCGACAATTTACATTTTATAATTAATTCGACGATTGAGAAAAAGATTATTATAACTGGCGAAGGAATTACATATAAGGTATGTTATCGTACATACAAAATATGTATTAGACATTAATTTAATTCTATTATTCTATTATGGCAGATTCGTTTAGTAAATCCGCGCGACAAATTAGTAGATCTTGGCAATTTATCGATCAACAAAGCGATCATCAGGAAAGTGCCGGTGATCAATGACGGTCGTGCTGCGCTCGAATTGAAGTTCGATCTCATGAAGAATCTACCGGGATATGGACAATTTCGCGAACGAATTCAAGTGTGTCCAAGAAAGATCCATGAGGGAAACTCCAAAATGGATCAAATTCGAGCATCAATTAGTGAAACAAAACGTTCAGATACGTTTGACGTAATTCTTCAGACTATCGATCCCAATTTGTCAGAAGTTCTCGAGATCGAACCGGCAGAATCGATCGTACTTCAATCGGGAAAGATCGTGAATGTTATCTTGAAATATAAATCTATGCGAAGAATGCGACCTTTTGTTACTAAAGTGGCTTTTCGAACTAATTCCACGATTCAGCCATTATTTATTCTGCGCGGAAGTTGTATAGGAGCGGAATTCCGTCTGAATAGAACTTGTATTTCTTTCGGTATAATCGTTCAAGGTTGTCTCAGCGAAGCAAAAGTAGTGCTATTAAATATAGGAGATATTGGTGCTAGGTTGGTGTTATTATAATTAATTATTGTTAATTAATTTAATAAAACAAAAACAATTAAAAATTATAAAAATATAGAACTTTTTATTCATTTTTAAAATAAGAAAGCTAATTTTTTAAATCTTATTTCTTCTTTTTTCTCTTCTTGTATATGTTTTAAAGTTTTGGTGTGATTTTTTAGCGAATGATTTAATAACCGTCTTTTACTTTTCATATGGCTTTTATTCGTATATATTATAAGTAATTTTCATATTTTTATTATTAATCTATCGCGTAATAGAAATATTAATTATTCGAACTTATTAAAATATCATAATGATACATGATTTATTAATTTAGATTCAAGTGGAACACATCGAAATTGCCACGAGATTTTAGCATCGTTCCTGCGACTGGCTATTGCTCTCCCGGTATGAATGTCAACTTCATTGTCAGTTTCCGACCTACTCAACATGACAGTTTGATCGAGGGCGACGTGAGCACACATATAACTTCTAGCCTTCTGTTCTTGTATATACAAATACTCGATTAACTAAACTCCATTAGACTCGTACTTTTCGTATAATATACGTCAAACATAAAAATGGTTTATTATAAACCACATTATTTTTTTAAATCATGTTTAATTTTTCAAAGCATCTTTTCCTTTCAGAACTCGAGAATTTTGGAATTTATATGTACTTGATATATATTTCTCCAAACTTTACTATATTTTAATAAATTAATTCAAAATTATTTTAATATTTATTTTAATAAATGTAAATGTGAATGTTAGTTTGAAAAAAATCATGTATTATTTCAAAGATACATTATTATATTTTACATTAAATAATTTAATACTTTAGAAAACATATGTACTTTAGAAAGCATATATTCTAGTCTATTACATATTATGCATATTGCATATTAATAATATGCAAAATAGATACAATGGTAAAATAATACCAAAACCGGCAGAATCTCGTAGAAAAATATAGATACTTTTATAATAAGATATAGTTCTTAGTAAAGAGAAAATTTTATATTGTTTTCAGGCAATGCTTGAAATTGAGAAATATAGAGTTCTCGGCATAAAAATTACCGGAGGTTGTTGCAAACTACCTGACCCAATTGACACCTTGTTCTTTTCATGTCACGTTCGTGAGAAACTAATGAAATCTATAAACATCGAGAATGACACTGCAACTTCTTGGAAACTAAAGCCAGAGGTTTTCGGTGACTATTTCTTTATCAACGAGGTCTTACACATTCCTTCAAAAAGTTTTGCTACCTGTACAATTACTTACGCCCCTTTGATTATGAACAGCGAGAACAATCCTCACAAAGTAATTAGAGAAAGAAGATACTTGACGAATTTCTCTTATAAAATCATCAAAATGATTTTATAAAAACGTAGAAGATTTTCTTATATAATTCTGTATATGAGCAACAAGTCAATAAATATTTCCATAAACTGTCTCAGGGTACATTGCTTTTGAAGCTGCCAGATGACAAAGCACCTTTGGTATATTCTCTTCAAGGGCTGAGTCTAGCTCCACAAGTTCTTCAAAGGATTACACGTCAGTTCCCTGCAAAAACAAAGTATACAGAATTATTACCTGTCTACAACTGGATGAGTAAGCGGCAACGATTCGAATGCAAGATTGAAGATTTGGAGAACAAAGCTTTCGTCAATGTATAGAAACTAACCTTGAGCGATTTAGAATGTTGTAATAATTATAAAAATTTTAATGTTTTTTCGTAATCTCTTTACTTCTTTAGGCTATTAAAGTATATACTTTGGTTGGTAACAGTAAGATAGATGTGCCATCGAATAGTCAGCGAGACTATCGCGTAGAGTTTCACTCTTACAAAGAATCGGAATGTAATTTCAAGGTAAATTATTAATTAAAAAAAAGAAATGCAAACAAATTATTATCAAAATGAAAATTTGCAATATACAAACAGAATAAAATTTTTTAAGTTTTTCTAAATATATATGATATTTTATTCAGATAACGTTCATTAATGAAGAAGGCGAATATCAATTTTATGAGCTTCAATACAATGTTACAAAACCTGAAGAAATCGAGTCGATCAAATTGATTACTACAGTGCGATCTCCGGTGTGCCACGCTTTAAGACTCAATAATCCACTTAAAGAACAATACATAATATATACGGCGAAGTGTCAGCATCCCTGCATCACGATCTACGATATACCAAAACTTGTGGCACCTTTATCCAGCGTTAGTTTTATAAAGATTTTTAATCAAAATAATTTTCATTTTTCAATACTACATTAAAAAATAGTATTAATCAAAAAAACTATATATACAATTTTTATATATATAAATAAAAGAAATTTATTTTTTTACTAACAAATAATATAATTAACAATCGACATAAATGCAACAGGAAACCATCGGTATTGAATATCACCCTATACATCCTAGCGAGGAGTCTGCGATAAACTTGGACGTTAATTGCGAAGAACTCGGACTGTTTCCCTACGAATTGCGATTGAGAGCAATGCCAGCACCTGCGGAAAAAACGACGCGCATCGTCGCGATGCTCGGTGCTTCTGCCACATTTTCTTTGACCGTAAGCAATCACGCCAAAGAGAGTGCAACGTTTGTAATCAAGGTAAATATAAAAAAATATTTCTATCATAATGATCAAAACGTGAAAATTTTGTCTTCTCATTGTAGGTGAACAATGAATGCTTCACAATTCCGAGGGACATCGAAGTACCGGCGTTGAAAAGTGCCTCATTCGATGTGGTTTACGAACCTTACGACATCGATAATGTCTCCGCTACTTTGACTGCCACGTCCGAGATCGCCGGGGAATTTATGTATGATAATTTGCAGTTAAATTATTTAAATTTATCTTGTTAATTGTTTCATTATTAAATGTACAGTTAAAATATAATAAGTTAAATATGTACGCAGATATGTATATATGTAATATAATTATTATTTTATCTAAATTATGTACAGATTTCCTCTTGTCGGTACATATTCATTACCAAAACCACAAGGACCGTATATAGCTACTCCTAACACACCGATTTTTATACCATTTAAAAATATATTTAGGGAAATTAAATCTTTTGAACTTATCTTGGACAATCCTGAAACTTTTACGACGACGACATCGTTGGAAAAAATTAAACAGAAACAGGTAATCTGTAGATGTATATATTTTTAAAGTATCATTTTAAATTTACTTATTTTTGAAAATGGAAATATTCGTTAAATATAAATGTGCAAGATCTCTACCACTAATATATATATAAATATATACAATCAAACTTTTATAAATTAATATTGTAAGGTAATCAATATCGTCGTTCGTCTGAAAGATGTATCAAACGGAAAGAGGGAATTGGAAAATGACAGTTATCCAATAACTGGAAAACTTCTGGTATATTGTACAGACCCTAAGATTTCTCACATCAACTGGACTTATTATTTAAAAGGTGTATATGACTGACACAAATAAGAAACGTATCAATATTTAATACATGATGATATTATATTGTAGCTTATCGCGTACGTCGAATTATTTAGAACACAATATAAAATTTTATGATTAATTAATGATTGTGTAATCTAATTATATTATTGTAAAAAATTATTTATATTTAATATTCTACATGTTCCGATATAAACTGTCAGTATTGACAGTATATATACTAAAAGGTCATTCATGTACGTATATATATTTCATTCATTCATATATAACACAACACAGTCATCATATGCTTTCATAGTTGACGTTTTGCACTAAGTTGTGTTCCAAAATTTATTCCTTGGAGTAAAATAGCGTTTAATTGACAAAAAATTTCTTTGTCCGGATGCAATCAAACCGTTATTCTACTCCAAAGAACAAATGTTGGAACGTAACTTTGGCGAGGAGCATCGTATCTAGATGTCCGCACAGTATGATTGTTGACAGCCACAATCAGCTGTAGCAGTGGCGTATCGCGCACGCGTGGTCAGTGTGGTGCTGTGGTGCTTCACCAAAATCACTAAAAGAGAAAGAAAAAAAGTACTAAGTACGTCCATAGTCCATGGTGATTTGCAATTTGCAATTTTTATGGTAACGACAGGTAACGAATCTTCGCTTCGTAAACCAAAAAGTGTAATGAAAAACTGTTCTCGCTAGACAGCTGCTCGCATCGCGTGTCAACATGTGATTCTACGAAATCACGCCTTTCGAATTAGACAAGGCGATGGTTCCGAAAATCTAATCCTTAACGAAGGCTCTTACGGCGGTCGCTGATTTCATATAATTTATCAAATTCATTATCTATCAATCACCGATCATCAGCCTTTATAAAGAATATTTTTTTCTCAGACTCAAATTAAACTCTCTTTTCTTTCCGAGTGAATAATTAATAATTATTGAACACGTTAAGAAAGTAAATCCAGTTAAGAAAGTAAATCCAGTTAAGAAAGTAAATCCGGCGAGTTCCGTTGAATGAAATTTGGAGAAACGGTCCATATTAGTTGATTTGATAAGATTAGGCATGCACATGGTGCATGCTACACTGCCACTTGTAGGCGATTTTCTTTGGATGAACATATCGTTACCCTGCATCGTGTCATCATGAGTGAAGAATTCAGGAAAATAGTAACAAGATTTCATCCTATCCATGGTGAGAATATTCTCTTGTGTGAGGACAGCACGGTGGCGATACGCACTACGAGTTTCGCCAACTCAGTGGCCTTCAGCGAGAAGCCATTGCAGCCAGGAGAGATCTTCCTCGTGGAAATCGAGAAAACAGAGAGAGGATGGAGTGGACACATGCGATTAGGGCTTACTCTAATCGATCCTGCTTCGGTCAATAACAATCTACCCCAGTATGCGATGCCTAATTTAGTTAGATTAGGCAACACATGGATCCTCGCTATAACTAGGAATCAGACTATCTGGGATAACTTCGATGGTGGTCTATCATCTACATATACCTCCCTTACCGGTTAATATCTATTAATCTAAAACTATTCATATATTCTTTTGTTGTATGCATTTAATGTATTCTGTTCTATTGGAATTATTGTATATGTAGTGTATATTTTATTAAATATTGTGTCTTTATTTATTATTAAAGGTATACCACCAGGAATACCAGCCAGAGAAAAAAAATTGGTCACAGATGGAGTCAACGTGCAGACATCGCGTGGTATCATTCCATTCAATGCTCTGAAGCCGAATATAGACGGTTCCTCCCAGTGTATCTTGCCCACAGACGTTGGTAGTCGAATCGGTATCATGTATGTACCACAAGCTGGTTGTCCTGATAAAGCAGAGATGCATTTCATCATTAATGGTGAAGATCAAGGCGTATGTGGAAAGGATATTCCCTATAAGGCAGGACCTTTACGTGCGGTAGTGGATGTCTATGGTACCACGAAACAAGTTCGGATAATTCAGCTATATGGGGGTGAGTATTTATATCAAATCTTGTTTTTTTTTGCTTCAGCAGTTTCTATATTGTTTCTATATGTTTCAACAGTATCGACACTACAGAGCGCGTGCCGTGATGCTATATTGCAATATACTAAGAGGAATGCAGTTAATCTGCTTCCACTACCGAGACTATTAAAGGACTATCTGTTGTATCAATCACAGTGAGAATCAGCTCACATTCCACTTATACATACATTTTTATACATGTTTACGAAACTTTTCCATTAATTTCTTTTTGTTCCCGGTATCATATAACATATCTCCAATGTTTAATATGTATATTCTTTATATATATATACATGTATATACACATGTTCTAAGTCTTAAGTAATGAAAGATTATCTCGATTCATACAAAGTCTTTTAAATTTATTTAGACAATATTTGTATATGTTTTACTCACATTGGAAACGGTTGTTTATGTCTTAATGTAAATTACGCTCTCAGTTTTCAAATTTTTTTTCTTTAATATGGACATTTAAATTATTGTGTGTACATAATGTAACGAAATGAATCGCTGCATCGAGAATATCAGCGAAATTGCATTGAAAGTTTAATTGTAAGTATCATTTGGGCATGACTATGTTTATGAAATATAATATAATGATATACTTATATGTAAAACTCTTAACATATTTTTTGGACAGTTACCTTTTACTTTCCTTATTTTGTTGCTTGTTATGAGATATATAATGTGGAGTTAAATCATAACTTTCACATTGTTGAACAAAATTGAAAACGAATGATACTAACATAAGTATCCAAAGCAAACTTGATTTTACAAAATAAATGTATTTATAAAAAGAAAAGAAGAAAATCATCTGCATTTTGCAAACCATGACTATGAATCCATCCAATATACTTGTTTTATATTTTTTATTATATGAGAGATAATTATGCTATTTAACAAAATATTAAAAAATATTTCTTTAATAAACAATTATAATATTCAAACATATATAATAATTAGTCTGTACATTAAGGACTTATGGTATTACAGTATAATATGTAGGAAAACACGTGCTTAGCAATATGATATAAGTGAGAAGCACGCTTAGAAATGCAAACCATCCTACGAGTACTATGACATATCTCCATGGCGATTTCTTGCTACTTGATTGTACAAGATCGGTATTGTCGTCTGCGTCAATCTCTATTTTTGCCGTTACGGCTGGATCTAGGATGCTGACTAAAAGAATCTGTCCAATTCGACTGCGTAATATGGATGTCGTGCCGACTGAGATCCATGTGGGCGGCTCGGTGGTCAATTCTTGCAAGTGTCGCAGGATACTGGTCAGGATGAGAGTAAACGATGCTATCGCGAAAGAGCTCTCGTAAAATATGACTGAAATAAAAATATATTTATAAGAGAGATATTTCTCTTACAATAAAACTGATAAATAAAATAAAAATTAATTATTAGAAATTATATGATTGAAATTTGTAGGATTCTATGAATTAATTTAAAAATTATATTGAAATATTCTCCACAACTATGACTCCATATATTGTCCACAAGTATAGCTGCTAATTTTGAACGAATTATGTTAACATAATTTTATTTAAGGAGATTTAATTGTCAAGATATTATTTATTATTGAAAATTATGATTAATATAAATGTAAATAGCAAGTAATTTTTGTTGTTATCTATACTTAGTTTAGGAACGTTGGAGCCACTTTTCGGTACTTCCCAATGTACGTCATGTAAACATAATAAGTGACAAATGAAACTGATATTAGCAATCATCATCCGCTCGAAAGATTTCGGTTCTAGCCACAATGCCGTCAGAGTTATCACCATTAGCACTGTGAACATTGTGTAAAATTTCAGATATCAAGATCAATGAAAGAAGCACATTGAAAATTTTATTTATTATATTTATTTATCAACATTAAATTAAAATTATTTGAAAAATGTAGTTATACATATTTATATTGATTTATATTTATATTATAAATGGTATTGATTAATATTATTAAAAAGTAACGCAATTTGCGCGATACATACCTATAGTAGGCGATATATACGCAATGCGTATGATGCCCCAATGCCTTCTTAGAATAAAATGATAAGAAAGCATTTTAGATGTGGAACCCGAATTGTATTTGTATCTGCTTTCCCATTTTGTTACATACATTTTCAATAAATCCCACTCAACATCTTTGGAATTTAATTGTAATGACTGTAAACATCGATTTAATTTCCAAATTTATAAAAAAGAGATAAGTGAAAAAATATTAATTAAAGATTATTTCATATATCATGCAGATATCATTGATCGAGATATGAAATTGATAGAAAATAAATAGATAAATAAATTCTATACCATGTTCTGTAAAGGAACAAGTTCGATTTCATCACCGGAATGCGACCACGATCCGATTTGTATGGTGCAGTTCATGGTGTTGTATGGCCACCACGTATTATCCGCGAAACAATATGTAGTATATTTTGCTGGCATTAACGATTGAACCGTTCCCTCTTTCCTGACCCAACATTTCGCCTGACTATAACCCAATGAGCTTTCTCCGATTCGTCTAAATATGCAAATAACTTGATAAATATCTTGGAATTAAGTCAAGCAATATCGTTCTGCTTGGACATAAAAAGAAAGCAAAATTAAAATATTTTTTTATATGTTAATCTCAGATTGTTTAAACTTTAAAATATATATGGTTCTTATCACACTTGTGACTGAAACATATATAAGATTTAATTGAGATAAAGAAAAAGATATCAAACGAAATTTTTAATTTGGTTTTTAATTATATATAGTTTGATTTAATTATGATGAAATAATATTTGTTTGTTGATAAGTTTAAAGTATAATGATAACTATTGATAAGTTTAGATTAGCACATTCTTAATTACTAAGGTACGAGAATATATTGCTTACTCGTTATGTATTAAAATGTCCGGAAACCAAATTTGATCGCCTGATACAGGTATCGACTGGATATTATCGTATTGTTCAGGATTCCATGTCAAATGTGAATCATGCCATCTCTGTCTCAACAAGATATTAATATATACAAATAGAACGTTTGTTTTAAAAATTTACATCAAATCATATTATTCATTAAAATGGAAGCATTCATAGAAACATAATCCATCGATCGAATAGCTAAATTAATATATGTGCATATCATTTTTCTATCGTTTAAACTTATTTATACGGATATAAAATATATATACAATTATGTAAACTTACCATTGCTATCCATGCATGTAACTCGAAGAGTTCTTCTTCGTTATTCTGGACAAATAATTTATAGCTTTAATTAATGTGATCATATAATTTTTGGTTTTGTAGATCGTGTATTCTTGGCCTACAGTTTACAGTTTAAAGTTGCAAAGAACTTGTAACATAGAAAAGATTAGTTTTGATTAATAAAATATTGACTTTTATGGGGAACACGAAGAATTTTTTATCGTAAAAATGATTTTCATGGATACTTACATAACGAAGAAAATGCGGTATCATTCGGAACAGTACTCGCGTCATGTTATTGTTGTTCTGGACCGGTCTTACTTCAGAGTCATACTCGCAGAGGAGATGCCTCTTCAGTTGCAACATAGTCGATTTGCTTTCGACATTGTTGCAACTGCTACTTGCTGTCACATCATTATATATAACATCGAGAATAAATAATAGGACAGAAAAAAGACCACTTCTGCTCATCTTGAATATATGACGAACGATGGACGAATCTAAAACGACTGAATCGTTTAGCGAGTATTATGCGAGAACAGAACTGATGATAATCATACGCCCAGTGAAACATAAAACTGCAGATCTCGAAGACCGCCCCTTCAACAACAAACTCTTATCGCTTTCAATATTTGGGTCATTTCTCATCCACAAATAACATATATTTTATCAATGAAAATATAAAATATTTTTTATTATTTGTTTTTTACGATTCTCTAAATTATATATTTGATATATATACATATATAATATATATTGACAATTTTTAAAATTATTAAATTAAAAGCTGTCATAATAATAATATTGTTATTTATATATTATTTATACGAATCGTAGATAATTTTTAAGCAGGTAGAAAAAATAATATAAATGAAAACGTTTATATATATAGTTTATTTTATACAAATTTATTTATTTTTACTGAATCTTTATTATATGTGATGTTTACATACATTCATTATATATTTCGCAAATAGGTCTTTCGAGATACTATATTCTTTCTTATAGTTACAGATATAATTATTAACTATTGCGTCTTTTCATATTACAGAAGTTACTAACGTATAAAAGAGTGTTGTTAATAAGGTTCTACTTCAATTAAAAATAACATACATGTGATTATTATTCATTTTAATCAGTTACAAAAGCAAGAGCAAGATTATTTAAAAGACTTTTACAAAGGAATGTTTTATCTTTGATTAACCTGTAGGTACAAGAGTAATTAAGATAATGGCGTAAGTGAGAAAAACGCAAAAGAACGACAACCATTCGACGATAGCGGCAAAATATCTCCAAGTTTCTTTCATTCCAGATTTTGGAAGGTCCGAGCTGTCTTCAATTACTATGCTTTCACCTGCTATTTTAGACTCTTTATCATTTAGGATTAGGAAACGACCAGCCTTGTTGCTCAAGATAAACATTGTCGTGGATGAGATCCAATGTGGCATATCTGTACTCATATCTTCCAGTTTGCGCAACAAGATCGTCAAGATTAATGCGAAAGTAGCCAATGCCAAGGAGTCGCGATAGAATAGCACTGCGGAATGTGTGAATATGAAAAAAGTGATTTATCATTTGATTTAAGTTTTATGTATTTCAAATGTTTGATTTTAATTTTGATGAATGTTTTGATGTATCCTACTTTTTTATTTGTTCTAATATATCTAATGAAAAAAATCTCATATATATTAAATAAACTTAAATTATGTTAAATATATATTTTCTAGAGAGGTATTATAGAATAAAAAATGTCATAATCTTAAAGTTATGAAATTGGAATGTCTCGAAATTTTAATTGAAAATGTTCTTTAGTTATGCAATTATTTTTCTTTACGGTTCTGATACTCACTTATGTTAGGGGGATTTATACCATTATATGGCAATTGCCAGTGCAAGTCGTATATGCAAAGCAAATGGCAAATGAAATTTACGCTTGCAACTGCCGTTCGTTCAACCGATCTCGAGTCTAACCAAAGCACTGTCAAAGTGAGCAGTATCAAAGCTGAAAAAAGCATATAGTTAGTTTAAGTATATTTTACGATTTTGCTTTTGAGGAATTGCCTACCAATTGCCGGTGTGATAACAGTTTTGTGATTTATAGCGTGATGCTGAGTTAACATAAATGTATAATCGATCTTTGGGAAAGTGTCGTTCGGACAACATTTGTATTTTTTAACATGTTTCACTGCGTCTACAAATTTCAAGTCGTATAATGTATTATTTTCATAACTGTCCATAGAAATCTGAAATGAATATAACCAAACGCTATTATTTTTCAAATAATATAATAAAATATAAATCTGCTTATAAATAGAATAAAAAGATGTTATAGAAAGAATAATCAAATAGTGTAAAGATCTCTTTCGCAGTAATTCCAGATATATATCATGTTAAGTTAATTCTACAATACTTAATTCTTCAGGATTTTATTGGAAGTAATATTCAAGAAAAAAAGAGAAAGAAGGATATTCACGAAAAAAAGAGAATTATAAATTATAATAAATACGATAATTTACATACTCCATTTTCGTCCAGATGGAAATCTATTTCTTCCCCGGCATACGACCATGAGCCAAGTACAATAGGACACGTTTGTTGATCGTAAGGCCAATAAGTGTAATCGCCATCGCATTTGGATATGAATTTCACAGCCGGCACGCAAACGACGGAACCCGTGTTGAATACTAGACAATCCGTTAGATCCAGCCCAAATAGATCGTTTGACATATCACCACTGAAAGAATTATGAAGGTAATTATTAATTTTTTTTCATATAATTAATATATAGATAAAAATTTAAAAGTTTATTACGATAGATAATTCATCTTAAAATCGGAAAAATATTTTAAATTTTCTTAATATTAGCATAACGTGCTATGTATTAATAATAGTAATATAATGCTAACTTACGAGTTGTATACGCTTAGATCGGGCACCCAGAGTTCATAGGACTTTACGTGAATATAATTAACGCCGTCATAATTGTTTGGTGTCCAAGTAAGATGCGTGTCCGTCCAGGACTGTTAATTAAATATCTGATAATTAAGAGGAGGACGAGCCATAAAAAACAAAATATTCTGCAACTTACAAATGACATCCAGCTGTGGAGTGTTAATACACCTTTGTCCTCGAGCTGTAAAAGTAAAATTAATTAATTTTTTTTTATCCGTTACTATATGTTATTTATAATAATTGTAAAGATAAAAGAATTGCGCATGAAACTTATAGTTTGAATAATAATGGCGTTTCTAATTGTTATCAGAAAATAAAAATATATAAGACAAAGCCGTTAAAAAATGTGATAATACGGACATTGTTCCCAAAAATATCACGATTTCCTGAAATTTTATATAGAGAGAATGATGTTTAACACACACACACATGAAACATTTTTTTAAATTATTTTAAACCTTCATATATCTTAATTCTATTTATAGAATACGACATTTTTTTAATAATGATTTCTTTTAATGATTTACACTTACGAATTCCATCATCTTCGGTATCAACCTCAGAGTGACGTTGGTAACCGTTTTGGGATGATTTGGACGGACGGTGCTATCATAATTGCAGAAAAGATATTTCTTAAGTCGCAGTAATGGCGTTGTGTTTTCTAGATTCTTACATCCTCGTGTCACAATATCCTCTTCCATGTTTAGGAGAGTGGCAAAATCAGGAAATTTGATTGAATCTAAATATTTAAAAATCAATTTGTTAATTAATATATCTGATCGTTGTCAATTAATTTTAATATTATTTTATATTATTTTTAATTAAAATGATTCTTCTTACAACGTTATACATTCACAATGTAAAAATTATTTTTTTTATATGAGAGATGTGTGTGTGATCACGAAATATAATTCTTCTATATTATTACATTTAAGAAATACGAAATGATACATTATTATTATTATTTAATCAAGACATGCAATTGTCATACGTACCAACACAACTCTGCCAGAGAATAATAAAAAATCCGAACATCTGTAATATTCTCATCTTGATCGGTATGAGCCAACGGCTCTGAGTCGACTAATTCTCTTCGTTATAATAGCAGAACAATTTTATCAGATGCCTCATGAAATTCGACGCTGTTGATATAATAGACGCCCCTAAAGTATCGATTTTAATTTGAGAGTTTTATGATAATCAACTATATATACAATCGCGTGTGCATGGCTCGAGATGAAAGTGTGTCTTAATCAATCAAAGTTTGCACTTTCTTGAGATTCTGTTTTTGTAAATTTTTATTGTCTTTATTTGCAAAATGCTTCAAATTGATGTCGTAAAACTCTTGCAGCAAAATATATATTTGTGATATTTTTTTGAAAATATTAATTTATATTTGAAAAAATATTAAGTTAGTTTCTTAAAACAAAATTTGAAAATAAATTAAAAACTAGATTAAAAATTAAGAATTTCAGCTTTTTTATACTACCATATTAATTATGGGTTTAGTTGTCAATGTATCTATTAATGTATTCATTTTTATACAGATTTTTGAAGTCTGTTCTTCTATTTTGGATAAGATATAAATATTAGCAAAATGGTAAAAAACTTAAGATCTAAATTTAATTAATTAATTAAATTAATTAATATTTTTTATTATTTATATGTTTTAACTAGAAACATACTAAGTTTTTAAAAAATAAATACGTAGAAAAAGAAAAGTAATTGGGAAACAGATCTAAAAATTTTTTAGTTATATATTATTTTTTTTACTACAATTCAATGTAAGAAATGGGATTTATTTACATATTTTGTATGTGCAGAATAGATTATACATTAATAGAAATTGTCATTACAGATGTTATATTTGCGTTTTATCGTCTTTAAAAAAATATATAAAATAATGTATTACTATGTAAAATAACATCATATTAACCATATTAAGGAAATTGATAAAGAATATATATCTCATTTTTATAAAAAAGGATTTTATTATTATTATTATTACTTACAATTATTAATTGGTTTAAATCAATTAACTTGAGTAATCAAAATGATAAGCGAGAATTACGCAGAAAAATGATGACACTTTAAAAGGTGCTTCAAAACAACAAATTTTTTAAAACAATAGTTGTAGTAACAAAAATTATAGAGGGTATATTCTGATGTTAATATTTTTAAATATAAATTAACCAATGGGTATAAAAATGATCAACGTGATGATATAAGTAAGGATCACACAGATAAAAGACAACCAATCGATAATAGTGGTAAAATATCTCCAAGATGGTTCCTTTATCTCCACTTCAGATTTTGGAACATTTGAGTTCCCTTCAGTTATTGTATCTTTATCTACCATCTTGGTTTCATCATCCTTCAAGATCAAAAAACGACTAGTCCTGTTGCTCAAAACAAACATTGTCGTGGATGAGATCCAATTTGGCATCTCCATGTTCATGACTTCCAATTTGCGTAACAAGACCGTTAAGATAATGACAAAAGCAGCCAAAACAACGGACTCACAATAAAAGATAACTACAGGTAATAAAAGTAATTTATTATATCGAAAAAAAAAATTAATTATATAT